AAAGATGAAAATAAATAAACAAATAAAGACAGTAACAGATTTCTTTATTACGAGTTTTAGGAAAATAATACGATAAATAATTTAATACTTAGAACATATTCTTAGTAATAAGAAGCACATTTGAACATGTAATTTACTTCCAAAAAACTGTTCAACAGGCAAAGTGATTGCTTAACTATAGGATTCACCTTTACTTTATTACTAACTAATTTTTATACAAACTACGCCTGTAGATCATCTAAAGTTACTGCCGCTCCCAAGCACGTATAAAGGACGAGGGTTAGGCATGGCGTCGGCAACCTTATTGCATAGAAACCAACATTACTAAAACAACGCTAACCAGAATAAATATTTCAAACCATTTAAACTTTATCCTGGGAGTTAAGTCTTCATTGAGAAGAACTATGAAGCCTCATGATGAAAGCCGAGATTCTTCGAAAGCCACGAGGCCGACGCCCCTTCTAACAACCAGAGCAACAAGTTTTATAGGTACATGGAATGCTCTGACAATATGGGAGACCGGGAAGATCAGTCAAATAGCAACAGAAATGAGGAGATACAAGAACATGCTCCACACACTCGGGGAGTTACTCTGATGCTGTACAAAGAAGCACGTCGTGCGCTCATAGGATGAGAATCTCATGGATCCAGGATCATCAAAGCAGCTTTCAAAACAAAGAATGAGAAAATCAATGAATGTTATCCAGTGTTATGCACCCACCCATGATAGCAATGACAACGATAAAGACCAGTTTTATGAGAGGCTGTAATCGATCATAACGGAGTGCTCTGGAAAGGACCTGACCATTCTGATGGGAGATCTAAACGTCAGTCAGAGTAGACTACGCCGGATATGAAGACATCATGGGATGACATGGACTTGGAGAAAGGAACAAGAATGTCGAGAGATTAGCAAATTCATATGCTTCCAACAAAATTGTTATTGGCGGTATGATATTCCCCCTCGAACGTATACACAAAGCTACATTGATCTCACCGGACCACATCACAGAGAACCAGATAGATCATATATGCATCAACAAAAAGTTCTGGAGGGCAATAGAAGATGTGAGAACCAGGAGAGGAGCTGATATAGTTTCAGATCACTACCTAGTTGTGGCCAATTTAAAACTGAAGCTAAGGAAGAACTAGAAAGGTGGACAAACAGCATTAGAAAGGTTCAATACAGTCTTCCTTCGAGATACTGACGAACTCAATGAATTCAATATAGCTCTCAACAATAGGTTCCAAGCCTTACAAGATCTACTGAAGGAAAAAGAAACCACTATAGAGGACAAGTGAAAAGATATCAAAGAAGTACTAACTTCAACGTGTCAGGAGGGTCTGGGCCCCAAGAAGCATCACCATAAGGAATGGATCTCTATGGAAACCTTGGACGATATCCAAGAAAGGAAGAACAAGAAGACAGCAATTAACAACAATCGAACAAGAACAGAGATAGTCAAGTCACAAGCTGAATACATAGAAGCAAACAAACAAGTGAATAAGAGCACTAAAGCCGACAAGCAGAAGTACGTGGAAGGATTAGCAAGGACGGCGGGACAAGCTGAAAGAGAAGAAGATATGAAACAATGAATAAACTAGCAGGGAAATATAGTAAACCACAGAGGCCGGTCAAAGACAAGGAAGGCAGGCCAAACACTGAAATTCAAGAACAGAGGAACAGATGTGTAGAATACTTCGAGGAACTGTTGAATAGAACAGCTCCATTGAATCCAACGGACATCGAAGCAGCGCACACAGATATTCCTATAGATGTTAACCCACCAACGACGGAAGAATTCAGAATAGCCATCAGACAAATCAAGAGCGGGAAAGCAGCAGGACCCAACAACATACCAGCTGAAGCACTGAAGTCAGACATCGAAATAACTACAAACATGCTTTATCTTCTATTCAAAAAGATTTGGAAGGAGGAACAAGTGCCGATGGACTGGAAAGAAGGACACCTCATCAAGATTCCAAAGAAAGGAGACCTGAGCAAATGTGAAAACTACAAAGGCATTACACTACCATCAATACCAGGAAAGTCTTTTACAGAGTTTTGCTGAACGGAACCAAAGACGCAGTAGACGCCCAACTTCGAGATCAACAAGCTGGATTCCGTAAGGATCGATTGTGCACAGACCGAATTGCGACACCACGGATCATCGTCGAACAATCAGTTGAGTGGAACTCGTCACTATACATCGACTTCATTGATTATGAAAAGGTATTTGACAGTGTAGACAGGAGAACGTTATGAAAACCTCTTCGACACTATGGAGCTCCTGAGATGATTGTCAACATTATCCGGAACTCATACGACAGACTACAGTGCAAATAAGTGCATGGAGGACAGCTGACAGATGCATTCCAAATAAGGACAGGAGTCAAACAAGGCTGTCTACTCTCTCCCTTCCTCTTTCTTCTGGTGGTCGACTGGATTATGAAGACTTCGACATCTGAGGGAAAACACGAAATACAATGGACAGCTCAGAACCGATTAGACGATTTGGACTTCGCAGATGACCTAGCCCTCCTATCCCATACACACAACCGAATACAGATAAAGACAGCCAGTGTAGCAGCAGTCTCTGCATCAGTAGGCCTCAGCATACACAAAGGGAAAACTAAGGTCCTCAAATACAACACGGAGAACAGCAATTCCATCACACTTGATGGCGAAACTCTGGAAGATGTAGAGTCCGACACATACCTAGGAAGCATCATCGATGAACAAGGAGGATCCTATGCAGATGTAAAGGCGACGATCGGCAAAGCAAGGGTCGCATTCGTACGATTGAAGAACATATGGGATTCAAAACAACTTTCAACCAATATCAAAGTGAGAATCTTCAATACGAACGTTAAGGCAGTTCCACTGTATGGAGCTGAAACTTGGAGAACTACAACAACCACAATCAAGAAAGTACAAGTATTTATAAATAGCTGTCTACGCAAGATACTCAACATCCATTGGTCGGATACCATCAGCAATAGCCTCTTCTGGGAGAGAACAAACCAGCTTCCAACTGAAGAGGAAATTAGGAAAAGACGATGGAAATGGATAGGACATACATCACGTAAATCATCAAACTGCATCACAAGGCAAGCCCTAACTTGGAATCCTGAAGGGAAGCGGAAAAAAGGAAGGCCAAAGAACACATTACGTCGAGAAATCGAAGCAGATATGAAAAGGATGAATAACAACTGGAAGGAGCTGGAAAGGATTGCCCAGGACAGGGTTGAATGGAGAATGCTGGTGAGCGGCCTATGGTGACAGGCGTAAGTAAGTAAGTAATTTTTACACAATCAGTTTACAAACCAATCATTTAAATACAACCGATGACAACTTTCATCTGTATATATGGATGATATGTATATAGATGATACCGTTAGTATTTATGATAAGATACATGATTTGAATAATATTCTACAATAATATTAACGAAAATTAAGATTTATTCTTCGAGTGGAAAACAATCAATATGCACTTTGTCAATGTTCCAGTATTAAGAAAATCTGATGGAACTCAAAACACCAAAAGTAACAATAAATTATCTCAAAGATGTTATACATGAACATCATTTCTAGAGGCGAAAAGGCTGCAAACATCTTAAAAAGGGCGATTTCGAATACCCTTAAAGAAACTCTATTTTCAACTCGACCTAAGGATAAGCTATTACATCTGACTATTTCACTGTGCGTTTATAAATTTATCCACTCCTGTGACGTTAAGCATATGGAACGTTTGATATGCACTTTAATAGAAATAGTTCGAAAACACTATCTAGCATACTTAAAAATAGCCAGTAATGAATCCATAAAAAGTTCAATAACTGAACATTTTGCAAATAAAGTTCATCCAATCAAAATAGAGTAAGCATTCATGGTCATTTACAAGGTAGGTGGAAATCTGTTAAAGGTAATCATGTCTGGTCAACTTACCATTTCTAAAACTTTTTCTTAGATTTAGAGAAACCAGTGCTAAATACAAAAAAACTAATTCAATCTCTTCTTCAACCATGATCAAAACTTCCAATTTTTTCGGAAGCTATAACTATCTCCCTCTTTGCTACCAAACTGACTCTTTTACACCCAACTGGCATGATCTCAGTTTCTATAACTGTACTATATTGCTGTGTCGACATTCATCTGTATCATATTATGCAATCTATTTCCACAAATTTTAATCATCACTTAACTGCCATGATATTCTTGATGAACATTCAAGATCTCAACAACTAGACCTTCAGTCTCTAAAATAAAAATATTCATATATTCCGTCCCTTTGTTGCTACGTTGAATAGATCGTCGTTATCATCAAGAAACATGTTATTAATTATCAGTGTGACGATTGTATATATTCACAAATCCACAGGTTTGAGAAGAGACTCGCTATTTCATGTCTAAATGGATGCACTCCACTTATGTACAAATTAACGAACCGATCGGCAATCGTATTTCATGAATTTATAGTGTTATAATATGCCATGATTCTCTAAGGTTATTCGCTCCTTCCAAATTATATTTCTCGTATTTAGTCGTTCATCACTTTTCTTAATAACACCTCCCTTGTTATTCAGGCCAATGCACTTTGTTCCAGGTCATGCATCATTTAGAATTGCATTTAACCAGACTAAAAAGCATCGACATCCATTTCAAATCATTTCACTCCATGTTGTCTTAGATTATCCCTCATTCCTTCCTATGCCTCTACACAATTTTATTTCCTTATTTATGAGCCTTATATTTTTTATGGTGCCTATTTGTACTAATATCTGTCTTTTCAATAAATAATTGTTGAAAATGTAACCGGTTATCTCAAAAGTTATATATGAATCTATGATCAAGAACAGATTGACTACCTCTGGATTGTAGTTAATACCTATGACTGAAATTCAGGCACCAAACACTTCAATCTACTTTATCCATCCACAATGGCAACGACTTTTAATTCAAGTATAAAAATTAATTATAAACGGAATAGAGATTACCTCTCAAATAAGAACCAAATGATTGTTTCGGAAATCATTTTTCTGATCGCAAATGGCATAGTTATCCAAATTACGGACACTGGTTTCAAAAGTAGAAATTTTAAAACTTGTCCCATCATGGTATGACGTAGACAATAGCATAATAAAAAACCACCAGAAAAGCTAAGATATAATATGATATTTGTTAAATAATCCATGTAAAAGACGATATCAGGTAAGGTCAACTAACAGCAGAAATTTTCAAATTTTCGAAATTGATATATATCTAAAATAAGAATCATGAGATAAGAAATTAATTATTTAAAAGGAAAATTGAAAAAGAAATAGACTAACGTTGTTCCTAAAAACACACATTAATAATTTAACTTTAATTTCGGGAAAAGTGTATTTAGAAAAAATTAAGTATAAAAAATCCAGTGCACATGCAATCGGTTGGAGTTGGAACCCACAAGAAAAAATATCATTCTATCTCACAGAGTTGTCACATGTTTCCATCTCTTGCAACTTTTACCACTGTCGCTGGTAGGTCTTTCATGTACTTCTGATTTTCCACCCCAATGCTCCTCTGCAATCTCTAGTTTCCTTGTGTATGTTCAGCTTGTGACTTGACTATCTCTGTTCTTGTTCGATTGTTGTTAATTGCTGTCTTCTTGTTCTTCCTTTCTTGGATATCGTCCAAGGTTTCCATAGAGATCCATTCCTTATGGTGATGCTTCTTGGGGCCCAGACCCTCCTGACACGTTGAAGTTAGTACTTCTTTGATATCTTTTCACTTGTCCTCTATAGTGGTTTCTTTTTCCTTCAGTAGATCTTGTAAGGCTTGGAACCTATTGTTGAGAGCTATATTGAATTCATTGAGTTCGTCAGTATCTCGAAGGAAGACTGTATTGAACCTTTCTAATGCTGTTTGTCCACCTTTCTAGTTCTTCCTTAGCTTCAGTTTTAAATTGGCCACAACTAGGTAGTGATCTGAAACTATATCAGCTCCTCTCCTGGTTCTCACATCTTCTATTGCCCTCCAGAACTTTTTGTTGATGCATATATGATCTATCTGGTTCTCTGTGATGTGGTCCGGTGAGATCAATGTAGCTTTGTGTATACGTTCGAGGGGGAATATCATACCGCCAATAACAATTTTGTTGGAAGCATATGAATTTGCTAATCTCTCGACATTCTTGTTCCTTTCTCCAAGTCCATGTCATCCCATGATGTCTTCATATCCGGCGTAGTCTACTCTGACTGACGTTTAGATCTCCCATCAGAATGGTCAGGTCCTTTCCAGAGCACTCCGTTATGATCGATTACAGCCTCTCATAAAACTGGTCTTTATCGTTGTCATTGCTATCATGGGTGGGTGCATAACACTGGATAACATTCATTGATTTTCTCATTCTTTGTTTTGAAAGCTGCTTTGATGATCCTGGATCCATGAGATTCTCATCCTATGAGCGCACGACGTGCTTCTTTGTACAGCATCAGAGTAACTCCCCGAGTGTGTGGAGCATGTTCTTGTATCTCCTCATTTCTGTTGCTATTTGACTGATCTTCCCGGTCTCCCATATTGTCAGAGCATTCCATGTACCTATAAAACTTGTTGCTCTGGTTGTTAGAAGGGGCGTCGGCCTCGTGGCTTTCGAAGAATCTCGGCTTTCATCATGAGGCTTCATAGTTCTTCTCAATGAAGACTTAACTCCCAGGATAAAGTTTAAATGGTTTGAAATATTTATTCTGGTTAGCGTTGTTTTAGTAATGTTGGTTTCTATGCAATAAGGTTGCCGACGCTGTGCCTAACCCTCCTCCCCAGTCCGGACATGGAGCCAGCAGTTACCCTAGAAGAGCAATAGGCGAAGCTATTTTAAGATTTAACACAAAAGTAATGTGAGTAGATTAAAACACAAAATGGACAGACAGACAGCTATATAATAAAAAATTATGAAACCCAAAATAACTGAATAGCAGCTTACAATGAATTCATATGAACATTATATGTTCTGATGTTGCCACTAACAAAACGAGGAATACAGCACATAACATTTTTTGTACATCGAGTTGATGGGCCATGTCTCTCAGTGGAATGTACACCCAGAAGTCTTATAATCACCAATTCAAATACTCGCCATTGTTTAATCAAGCAGTATACAATAAAATCATTCGGAAAATACTTCATGTATACGAACAAAGTGCATATTTATTTAAATACAACACAACAGATGGTAAGTAACGTAAACACACACATTGAAAGAATCTAAGTCACTTCAAAATCAGTTTATGACAATTTAATTTAATTCTATTGAACTTTATATACATTACAATAGAATAATACAATGTAGTGAATCATTTGGAGAAGTAATAATATATTATTACCATGTATTTTAGCTATTCAAAACGACATAATATTAGGAAGATTGTTCTTACTGTTGCGAAAATTAAAAACCCACATGGTATGTATAGGTGGTAAACATCTGAATTCTGCTTTTTTTTACTAGTCTCATAAGAATTGGGAAAAATCAATTCGAGATTCAATGACAAGTTAATAAGAAATGAATCGGTTATATCTTCCAAACAATGATAGATTTTTTTCACTACTATATTGGTTAAAGCGTAAACACGTGAAATTTTAAATGAAACATTGCAAAACAGAAGGGAATTTGTTATCTTCATCTGCTCAAAAACAACACGCCTAATTAGTAACAAAAGATCAGTAAATAGAATGGATAGATATGATAAACAATATCAGGTTTAATAACAAAAGTCAGACAACTCACTCAAACGTGCTGATTGACTATCACTTTCCATACTTCAATTTTTATCATAAACAAGTCGTCTTATCTTGCAGATAATGTCAAAGTAGTCGGTAATTTCCTAACTAACTTAATGGCAGATATATCTTAAATTAGCAATGTAACTAACTGGTTTAGTCCTATTGCTCGTAACAAACAATCGGAAGCCTGTGACAGAAAACTTGTGTTAGTACTAGTTAGCAAGATGTTCTTGCAATCGTGACAGGAAGAAATGATGTCCTCTGCATGATTCGAACAAGTGGCATGCAATGAGCTAATTAGAGATATTACCGCTGAACTATTCAAGTTCCAAATTATTTATTGGTTTAGAAACGAGAGCAGTAAACAAGCCGTCACAACCAATAGCACTTTACAAACAAGTCATTTCAATAACCTATAAAAGATTGTGTAGAAATCTTAGCTGTATAATGTTGTACTAAAAAAAATTGAGTATTGCACATAACACAATACAGAACATTTCGAAACTACAATGTTTAATGTGAATTTAGGATTTTCTTGCTGAACTAGAAAACAACTAATGCTACAGATCCTTCCATGCACGAAAAAACCAACATTCACTCTTCATGTTTGTTTCTCGTCGATTCTCACCATGATATTGAATTGACTGGTTGAAATTGTTGGCATAGATCCGAAACAATACGTCATTCCGCTTTCAACTCATCCTACTAATTTCCATTTAATTAATTTTATAATTTTCAAAAACAACGCACATGTGAGGACATATTCAACAGTATTAAGCACTAATGATAACTGGTTTTATTATTTGTTTCACAAAAATCATTAAATCGGTATGATGAGAGCCTAAATACCTGTTCATCAAAGACAAATTCACGTACCTCAGTAATTGAAAAATTCAGATACAAATAAATGGTGACTACAGTCATGTTTATTGGTAACTAGTTTCATGATACTGCACAGTAACCCTAAAGAACAACTATGTATGGTAGTGAGGAACTTACTACTGAAGCCACTATAGATGACGAATTGATAAGAGTCGGAAATGTGGTTCATTGCATCTAAGGTACTGTTTGGAGGTAGTTGACAGGAAACACTGGACCTAGTTTTCATGTTTGGCACTTGTCAATAAAGTGTCCGTAACATTAGAGAAACTGATACTTTCTATCGTATGTTGATCTCCTGTTTATCTCAACGTAATGTTCGCGATGTTCAGTCACTTAGACTGGTAACCAGATTCGAACTTGATCGATGAAATTCGACCAGCACTAAGGACTTGATTTACATAACATTAATTAGCATTCAATGACCAGCCTATTATAAACCAGTCCACCTCAATTTTAGATTGAGATCATGAACCGATTGATTTTAGACCACCATTGAAAACCTGGAAGCACTGTACGGCCGTTTCGTCCTATTGTGGGACTTCTCAGCATGAATTATCATGATCTGAATCAAAATCTTAATAATCTCCACAGTCCCATGCTGATAACCACCTAAATTTACCGTGTCTGACTGCAGCCAAGTTAATACAGGAGCACTGCCAATGATTTCCCTTCAACTAGGATGTAACAGTTATGCAGTACTTTCTAGTTTTCAACAGTTTCGAAATCGACAATAAGAAGTAACTTCTAGTATTTTGCGCTTTTGTTTAGAAACTAAGAATCACATCCGTATGTGCCAAAATATATTACGCTTACGAAAAAACAATCAGTAAAAAAATATGTTGACTCTCTCTATCACCAAGGTAGGAGTGGATGAAAAAAATCAATTGAAAAGCCTAGCAAACCTCTGATTGACAAACACTAAGTAACATATTTACAACACACTTTAAAAATATGGTCAATTTTATAAGCATAAACTGTTAATTCGTTTGTTTTACAGAGTGGTAATCAACAATAAAACATCAACTATAGAAATTCATTTCTACTACCACATTTAGAATTATTAAATCAAAATAAAATATCCTGAAACTTTTTGTTTTTAGCACAAAACATGTGATTTTGCTGACACACATGGTTATATAAACTAGCCCGAGGTTATCTGTAAACAAATACCCGTGTCTTCATAGCTTCATTGAAACAACTGATACCCAAAATAAAGTTATTTGGTTTTACATACAAACGAATAACTTAAATTCATACACATGTACTATTACGTACAGACTCGGGTACATCGTTATAAACGACATTTCAGGTGTTGGGGCTCAAACTAAGCAGAAGCGTGAGTCGGACGTGTAGCTTAAGGTACATTCGTCAGTTGATTCACAAATGCGACAGAGAAACTATCGATCAATCCTTACTGAAATAAATCTGGAATTAATTATATATGTAATAATTCAATCATCCTTATTTCAAAGTTCAAAGCTATCAAAATGGAACTCTTACTTAGGTAAAAATATTTTATTGTTTACTAGACCTGAAAGAACCCCAAACTAGATGCACTCCATGCATAAATAATTTTAAAAACAATGAGAACACCGTATACTTCATCATCACAAATTCATTTTT